ATCAGTGTGACATGTCGTTCAATGTCGAATACAACCTCACCTTGCATAAATCGATACATAGTATTGATAGTCTCACCTGCCCAGATTGTCACAAAAGGTTCTCACGTGTTGCAAGTCTCAAGGCGCATATTATGTTGCACGAGAAGGAAGAGTACTTGATGTGCAGTGAGTGTGGCGATGAGTTTAACCTACAGGTAGGTATCGTAGAATGGGCGGTCTACTTATAGGTCTTAATATCGTATTGTAATATATAATTTGTACACCTGCAATTTTAATGTAATAGGGGCGCTTCTATAGTATATTCACATACATTTTTTAATGGTGTGATTTTAATTACACCTAACACTTACTGATGTGTTATTGGTAATGTTTTAATGGTTTTTATTAAAGTGCATATGCTTTTAAACACAGATTACAAATTGGAAAATCACATAAATTTTTATTCAGTGTTCATTGATAATAGGGTTTTTAAATTGCTATCACCCTCAAATAAAAGAAGCCACCTAGTACAACCGTAGAAGTAATAAAAGTCTGGCTGGTATTAAATTATTTAACAAGTCCAGTTCCCCAAGTGCTTTCAATGCAAATAGACTTTATTTAATGAAAACCCCCCCTAGCCTCCCTACTGTGCTGTAGACTGAGATTGAAAGACGAAATTACTTTTGACATTTATTCTACGCAAAGCAGAATATTTGATTTATCTTATTGTGAAAGGTCAGTGACCTCGGCAAGAGGCATTCATCTACCTATGGTTGTGAGTTTTGATAGTCACGTACGAGTATACCGGGGTGTTCGTGTCTTTACACAAATACCTGTAAGCTAAATAGTGGTAAAAAAAATAATGACTCTGCCACCAGCTGTGTAGTTTTCAAGGCGAGACGAAAACCCCTCTGATACATTGTCAAGTGTCATCGCAATTCGTCTCATGAATACTAACCATGTGAATAATCCCGGATCAGGAATACGATGCAGAAATAAATTACAAAGAACTGATTTATTTTTAATATACCCAAGTTGTTAATTTAGTATGCATGTCGTTTTGAAGTAGAGAAGCTTTTTTTTTTTCGGCGAGCAAATGTCTTTTGGTGACAGGGAGATGATTAGCTAATTCTTACTATGAAAATGTAAGCTAACAAGATTATTCATCGCTGTCATTAATCTCGCTGCTAGATTACTGGGTATCAGCCAGTTCGTGTAAAATAAATGGACGTATTCCCGCTTGTAACATTGTCACAATGCTGGAGTAGCAATGCTAACAGTGTGTAACACAATTACTGAGTTTGCGTCTTGAGTGTTTCTCCTATTAAAGGGAAACACTTGAATCACCATTGTTACAATGGCTGGTACAATGTTCGCAATAAGTTGAAAGAATAATATTTGAATTGAAAAATTAGCTGTGTATGTCAACATTGTGTTTGCAGTTTTGTGTGATTATTATACCTGTAAGTTTTAACTGATCTTTATCAAATTTATGTACATGTGTATATGTTTATACTGTAACTTATGTAAAAAGGTAATTTGTACCTTTCAATTGTTCTAAATATAGTGCAATATATTGATACATGTATGTACACAATTTTCTGTCAATAGGTTAGACAGGTTACCAGCTTACACAGGTTTCCAGTTTACAAAGGGTTCAGTACAGACAGGTTACCAGTTTACACAGTGTTCAGTACAGACAGGTTACCAGTTTACACAGGGTTCAGTACAGACTAGGTTTCCAGTTTACACAGTGTTCAGTTCATGTTCATGCTTCTGATAGTTTTTCACTGGTTAATAAATGACATCAATTCTGGATAAATTGTTTTTCAAAGAAAACATTATTCATTTGTGATAGTTTCTGTAAATATCCATTGATTTATTTGCACTCTGTCATAAATGTCAAGGAAATGTATTGTCTGTCATGTTTGCTGAATCATCATACAATATTTTTATTCTGTCAGCATGTTTACCTACATGTACCTTATCTGTAAAGTGTAATTCACAACCCATGCTCAAAAGCTGGTCACCAACGCCTGTTGAACATTTTGCTTTGGTCTAATATTCAGTGTAAAATCTGTGCATATGTTTTTTGGGAAGCCATCTCCCCCAAATATGTCAAGTTTAGTTATACAGTACTAGAAGGGCAGCGAAATCTGTCTCAACCTATCCTGAGTTACTGAATTCATTCAGTTTATAGTGGTCTTTTATGTATTGGAGAAGGCACTAGAAGAAGATGTTCTGGTTCTGGACAGGTTCTGGTTTTAAAATAAATACATTTGTAGGCGTGATGTATGTTTAATGTAGGTTTGATTGGTTTTCATAATACTCTCGAGCAATGAATCATGTCATGAAAAACATGGTACTGTATTTGTTCTGTTAGTATCCCCAATAGAAACCAACATAAGCCAAAAATTGCATTCATTGTATATTAGATCATAAATACACAACCTATTTTGACCATGGACTGACTCAATACTGTCATTTATGTTATGTTATGTAATGTTATGTTATGTGTATGTGCTACAGTTACCATACTTGCTCTTATTAGAAGCACATCTCTGACCATTTCAGTTTGGATATTGGGCAGGCTTTTAACAAACAAATGTGAAACTTTTCGGCATTTCAGTTTCTCAGGCAGTTCCAAACAAAAAAAATATGCACACAATTTTAAATCGTGTCATTGTGGCTATACAAATGTTACTTAGTAATATCATAGGCTGAAACGGGTTACTGATGAAATGATTCAGTGGAAATAAAATCCAGTAAATATACATTTATTCCGATATTTTAAATTCAACTCATCAAATATCAAGGAAAATAAATTCCATACAAAACATCCAAAAAGTCTTTTCAGCAAAAATTAATTCCAGCTAAAAATACAATTTTACAGTGTATATTGTTATGAAAAAAAAAAAGGTTTAAACATTTTATTCAATATGACCACGTACAAAATTGGACCTCCTCACCTTCTTGGTGGCATTGTACATGTGTACATTTTGCTTCCTTTGAAATTCAACAATTAAATTTTTACTGTATGACTATTTGGTTCAAATATAAACATCGAAATTAGAAGGAAGAATTAGGAAAGTGTTGGCTATAGAAGGGTTTCTGACTATAAATTCAGTCATGTTTGATGGTGTTTTTTTAGTAGCATGGTTAAATACATACATGGTACCTTGAGAGGTTTCCTGATGGCTAATCAAGTTTAGAGTCATTAGGTTTTCATAGGAAATTTACCGTAACCAGAAGGGTTCAATTTTGTGTAATAAGTAGATCAGATATAACC